AATATAATACGTAACTTAATAAAGCAAAAAAGTAGGAAAACTAAGAAAACAAGCAGGAGCGACTGCAACAGGCTGCACACGCGGACGCATACGCACTACTACTGTCTCTCTTCACAAGTGTGAAAGGGGGAGAGAGAGAGGGAGCGACACGCAGCAAAGGGCCACAGGCTGGAGTCAAACCCAGGCTGCTGCAGCAACAGCCTTATACATGGGGCGCCTGCTCTACCACTAAGCCACCGGTACCCCGACTACTACTGTCTCTTACATGTCTTATTTTCGCATGTGATGCAAGTGATACCGTCATGAACATACAAAAAAGAAAATCAAAAAACAAATTGAAATAATAGTAATAAACACATATTGAACTGAGGTACATAACCATGTATAAACTGCGCAGATTCTGAACACTGCGCACTATAAACCTTCAACAGTCCGTAACTGTCAGTAAAGCAACTCTGACAAAACCAAGTCCATCAGTAGCATCCTACCAAAAAACTAATACAACAGCATGTAAGCATCTTAAATGTGGTCAGCACAAGTTGCCATTCATTTAAGATACAATATGGTGTCTAGTGAATGCTTAAATATGCATTATGCTAACTGGTGAGGCCACTGTGTAGAGAAAATAGTAATTAAAGTAATTTTCACCCCTCAACAAAAGTTGCTCACTGCAGGGAGATCCGTCCTTACATGGGCACACAACTTACCCCGCAGGTAGGTGGAAGAGAAAAAAGAGAAAACGGATACGTTAATTCCCATATTGCTGAGCAGAGAGGTGTAGGAAGGAAAAAGTGGAGAGAGTGAAACCGAGAGGAAGCTGGTGTGCAGGATCGGTTACTCTGTGGCTCTGGTTGACTCGGACAATTCACCTCTAATGAAGTTCATGGCTGCCTTGGGGTTGTCGAAGCGGCGGGGTCCCTCTTTTGTGTCGACATGGAGCGTGGCTGGATACTGGTGCAGGACTTTCTTACACTCCCTGAATGCGTCTTGCTTGGCCACGGTGCCCCTGGAGAAATCAGGAAAAATCAGGATTCGTTTTCCGTTCCATCTGAGTTCTTCTTTCCCCTGGGATGAGCGTAAAATATGGTCTCTGTCCCCTGACTGTATGAATCTCGCAATCAGTGTCCAGCCGTTGCGTTTGTCCTCCAAGATTCGGGGACCAAGTCTGTGAGCACTTTCAATAAACCATCCCTTCGATGGTGTGGGTATATCCAGCATTTCAGGTAAAACATTCTCCAAAAACATGACTGGGTCACTTGACTCGCAGCCCTCGGGAAAGCCGACAAAGCGCAAATTATTGCGCCTGATCTGGTCTTCTGTGTCATCCAGCTTCTCACAGAGAACCGCCACTTTGGCTTTAGTAGCTGGGGGGTTAGCCTTTAGCTGGTTGTCGGACTCCTCCAAAAAGCAGAGTCTCCCCTCCACTTCACTAATCCGTGTCACGAGAGTTGTCAATTTCTCCTCCATCGATGAAGTGGCTTTGCGTATTTCTCCTAAGTTCTGTAGCTCGCCCGATATTTGTTTCAGGACGGAGAAAATGTTTGCAATATCTTCTGCGACATTACCTGACACACGGTCACAGTCATCTTCCTGAGACACTGGTGAATTAGCATCGCTGCTAACGTAGGCTGCTGGCATGCCAGTGGTGTTTTCAGGGTTCTGTCGCCCGGAGTTTTTCAGCCTGCTTATCGTTGTTTCCCAGGTGCTTTATCTGCAGTCTGGACACGTTTTGGGTAAAAGATGCCTACTATTTAAGTGACTAATTGATAAATGTATAAGATGCCACGACGGAGGGCTCAGTTAAGCAGCCATTTTCTTCACCGCATCACGTGACTCCAGGAGATGGAACTTGATTCTTTGGTGGTGTCAGAGATAAGAATGCTGAGCAAAATGAGGAGCATTCTGGACATAACTCTCACCCTCTCCGCGACGTGCTTGTCAAACACAGTGCAGCACCCTTGGTATCACACTGCTACCACCACAATGACACCACACAAAGTCACAGGAAATCTTTTCTTCCTATGGCAATCAAATTTTACATCTCATCTACCTCATCTAGCTCCAACTCTGCTCGTCCCTGCTGTGTTTTGGATTTGTGTCTTACCATTGACCTGTTTATTTGTGATCCCTACTGTTAACTGTGTACATTTTGGCATGTGTATATTTGAACTTGCACCATACCATTATTTAAGATAATTACCCTATAACTTGTTTACATGTCTTGCATGGTGTAAATTTTGTTTTTACACCTTATTGATAATCTTTACTGTTAATATTTTGTATGTTTGCACATTGTCTTCTGTACTGCAACTGCTGCAAATCAGCATTTCCCTCAGGTTAAATCATGTTTATCTTATTTTATTTCATCTGATCTATCACAGTTAACTGGATATCTTTGTGTTTTGGACTGCTGTTTTTGTATTTTCTGATGTTTTGTAGACCAAATGATGAGAAAATATGTTAGATCAATTGATAATGAAGGAAATTGTTGTATCCCTAAAGAGCTTATCATTTTCAGGGTAATGAAAGGCCTGAGATATTGATTTAATAAAAATTCTACTCAAGTGACTAATCAAAGGTTATTGTAGATGTAACCATAATCTGTGGCTGTCCTGACAAAGTTACGTAGTGTTTGACACGTAGATTTGAAATAGTTGTGTGTTTCTGGAAGTCTAGGACAGAGAACACAGACACCTTTTTCCCTCAAAGCCCCTCTCAAAGGGAGTAAAATGGTATGTGGTTTTAGCATCTTTCAAATGATTCTAATGGCTTAGAGGGAGAGGGTATAATGTGGATGGCTGGATTACTATCTGCCATTTTGTTACATCTACAGAAACTTGTGAATGTTCAGACGTTGGTTTAGGGTGTATGGGTCAAAACATTCATGATACACGGTTCAGTATGACACAGGGGTGTCATGGTTTGGTGCGTTTCCGATACAGCAAAAAAAGTAGAAATTTCCTTGATTTTTAAAATGTTTAATTTATTAAAACAAACACCATAAAGTCTGATGTTTTCTGACTTTGAACAATGATGGAGCTAAACCTGTGTGACCCATTCTGTAGGGTGTCTTCCAAGCAGCATATCACAGGGCTTTACAGCATACGACATCCCTCTGTCCTTATGACCCTCGCAGCGGATAAGGAAAAACTCCCCAAGAAAAAAAACGATAGAAACCTCAGGAAGAGCAACTGAGGAGGGATCCCTCTTCCAGGACGGACAGACGTGCAATAGATGTCCTACAGAACAGATCAGCATAATAAATTAACAGTAATCTGCATGACACAATGAGACAGAAAGAGAGAGACAGAGAGAGAGAGAGATGCAGGTAATGACAGTAGCTTACAACAACATTATTGAAAGTAATAATATAGTTCTGGCTACTGTGGTACAATATGTTGAAAGTATGTATTAATATCTGGCAGTATACATGTGTGTCAATAGTCATATGTGTATAATAACAGTAGAAGTATGACTAATGACTAATGATGGCAGCAGCAGTAGGAGGCATCTGGCAGGACCACGGCAGCAGCACAACCACACAAGTCACGTTGTCCAGGCACCGCTGCGATAAGAGTTAATCTGAGAGACAGTGGAGCACAAAGGCTCCGGAGAAGAAGCCGAGTTAGTGACATCCAGAATGGCCGAGTTAGCAAGATGCAGTAATAGAATACGAGAGAGAGAGAGAGAGAGAGAGAAGGTGCCCGGTGTATTATAGGGGGGTCCTCCGGCAGACTAGGCCTAAGTCAGCCTAACTAGGGGCTGGTACAGGGCAAGCCTGAGCCAGCCCTAACTATAAGCTTTATCAAAGAGGAAAGTCTTAAGTCTAGTCTTAAATGTGGAGACGGTGTCTGCCTCTTTGACTGTAACAGGAAGATGATTCCACAGGAGAGGAGCCTGATAGCTGAAGGCTCTGGCTCCTGATCTACTTTTGGAGACTTTAGGGACCACGACTAACCCTGCATTCTCCTTTTAAAATGTTAAAGTTGTATTGTAGTTATAAACAAATACAAAGAAGCAGTTTATATTTCTAAAATGAAAGACTGATCAAAAAACTAACATAATTTGGGCTTTTTTGTACAAAGCAGGAATTACATTCTGGCTGAAGTGGGCTCACAAAGAAATATTGTAATGGGGCTCAAATACACATAGCCGGTTCATAAAGCCTGTCTTTTCCTCTACAGAGTTGGGTCTCATATCTGCAGCTCTAAATGTAACTTTACCAGTCCCCACAGTGACTTCTTTTGCTCTGTTTGAATCAGTTAGGAATGGTTGCCTATGCTGCAGGGATAACATTAGCTTGTAGTGTTAGTTTTGCCCCTTGTTTTTGTCTAGTTGCACAGATTGACAAACTGGGGTATAATTTGGGGCAAAAATTAGTTGACATGTTTTAAGTATCTCCATTGATGTAACCTGCTTTTGTGTAGCAGGTGTGACATTGTTGTGTTTTTATCCACTACTCCCCTACTGGTCTGATAATGGTGTTACTAAGATTCTTGCAACAAGCTATCAACAAGCTGCCTCCCAGTGTGCCTCAGTGGAGTAGAATGTTCTGGTTTGGGGGTGGGAAGGACAGACAGCATGTTGCCTGTTCTGCCCTGTGGGCTGTCTTGTCGGGCGCAGTGGCACTGAGAACATTATATTAAACACACTTTAAGCTGTATAGTCGATTTTCCAAATATAATAGGATAGTTCAACTTATCTTTCAGTTTGTAATTTGTACTGAGCCAAAAGCCTCGTTCCAGACGGTTCAGTACCAATACTTGTATTGGTACAACCCTATTCAATGTACAGTACTTTGATCTCATCAACCACCTACAGAATGTTGGACCTTATAATGTCTTTAGTTTTCAGTTTTCAAATACTGATAAAGTGAGTGTCTTCAAATTAATAAAAGAAAATATTGACCACAATCAAATATGGAGCGATCTGGGATTTCATAGTAGCAGTCTGGTTTTTATGGTGCTCCTGAATGCATTATGTTTCCTCCTGACTCCCAGGACTTAGATGGAAACCTGCTGGACTCATGGGAAGGAGTTCGGGTGCAGTGCCTGTGGTGTCTGAGTGACGGCCGGACAGTCCTTGCATCCGACACCCACCAACGCATTCGCGGGTACAACTTTGAGGACCTGACAGACAGAAACATGTAAGTCTGCACTCTAGCATCTAAAGCCAGACAAGGATGAAGTTATAAAATCAGTGGTTTCCAACTTTTTTTGCTTGTGACCCATTCATCATCATCATCATCATCATCATCAAATAAACAAAATCACACATGACATTTGTTTTTACAGCCGGCACATGTACATGAAAAACATACACATATTATACAGTACAGGCCAAAAGTTTGGACACACCTTCTCATTCAATACATTTTCTTTATTTTCATGACTATTTACATTGTAGATTCTCACTGAAGGCATCAAACCTATGAATAAACACATGTGGAGTTATGTACTTAACAAAAAAAGGTGAAATAACTGAAAACATGTTTTATATTCTAGTTTCTTCAAAATAGCCACCCTTTGCTCTGATTACTGCTTTGCACACTCTTGGCATTCTCTCCATGAGCTTCAAGAGGTAGTCACCTGAAATGGTTTCCACTTCACAGGTGTGCCTTATCAGGGTTAATTAGTGGAATTTCTTGCTTTATCAATGGGGTTGGGACCATCAGTTGTGTTGTGCAGAAGTCAGGTTAATACACAGCCGACAGCCCTATTGGACAACTGTTAAAATTCATATTATGGCAAGAACCAATCAGCTAACTAAAGAAAAACGAGTGGCCATCATTACTTTAAGAAATGAAGGTCAGTCAGTC